GCATCATCAAATCCCTTGCTGACTGGCGTGGATAATCACACTTCCGTGCATTCTGTGATCTCCAACAGCTTGTGTCATTTTGTGAGTTGACACTTTTTCAAGCCATGACAAAGGGCTGTTAGTTAGTTAGTTAGTTAGTTAGTTGGGTTATCCTCATTGCACTCCGGACATGTCCATAGGTGCTCAGATCCTCCCCTCAGTATGAACCCCAACGTCCGATGGCTAATAGTACCAGTTCTATGTTGATTAACAAGTCTTCTGGCGTAGCTGGTGTGCGTCTCGTTTTTTGCTGTGCCGATCTTAATTCCCAAGTCTGCCATTCTGGCGAGTGATGTGGATTCACTGCCACCAAAGTCCTCTATTCTTCCCATTTCTCTGAGGGCATTGATAATATCAGCATGATCCATAGGCTGACCGTCGGTAGTGATAGCGGATCCAGCCAACCTGTCAGCTCTTTCATTTCCATCGACGCCTGCGTGTCCCGGAACAAAAATAAAGGTGACTCCACGAACAGTGGACTTCTGCAATGATTCAAGCCATTGTCTTCGCACTGAACCTGCCTGAACCCTCCGGATCATACTCATTGAATCACTGAGTATACACACGCGGGTGTATTTTTGTGTTTCAAGCCAGGCAAGCGCTTGTGTCACTGCCATCACCTCCATCGTCATGCTGCTGGTTGTCATGGAGAAGGCGCCGTTGGCTTCTTTGACTGTTCTGCCAGCTGAGCGTGCTGTAAATGCCCATGCGCTTCTTCTTTGGCGTATAACGGATCCGTCTGTATAGATTATTGCATCTGCTTCGTCTGAATTTTCACCGATGAGAGCGTTGACCTCTGCATTAACAGCAACAGGATTCTCTTCTCTACATCGCCTGTTGAGTGTGACAATACAGGAAAATGTACAAATAAACGCCTGAGGCACAGGTATCCATTCTGCACCAGGTATGATGTCGGTTAGGCTGCATATTTGCCTAATGACATCTTCTGCCCGACCTAGCCACGATTTCCCCCTCTTCAGTCTGTCGCCCTTTTCACTAAAAAGCGCTTGATGCAGTGGGTGTTTCTTATCAGCGCATATTTTGAGATATGCCCGAGCCCTCCACATCCTGATCCTTTGGTTCATTGTTGGAAAGTCAAGTAGATACCTCATTGCTCCACAGGATGTGTCTCTAGTCCATCCCAAAATAATGCGCATGGCTTCATTTTGCACCTTTTCGAGTCGTTCAATCTGGGTAGCACTGACAGTGAGGATGGCCAGAGCGTATTCTATGGGGGAAAGGACCAGACCGTAGAATAGAAGTATTAGTAGTCTTTGCTCAATATTGGAAGCAGCCATAATCCTCATTGCAGATAGACCTTTGCGTGCTTTTGTTATCACATGGTCAACGTGTTCCCTGAATGACAAGCTGCGATCGAACCTCACCCCGAGAAACGTCATAACGTTGGTTCTGATCAATGCATTATCACGCATTTTCACTTCTGGTAAGTCCGACTTGACAATGTGATTGTTCAAAGAGAACCATGACACTGATGCCTTCGAAGGATTGACATAGGCATTGGAACCATCACACCAGGCGGCAATTCGATCGAGTTCTTTGTGCATAGTGCTGGCGATCTCCTGTCTATCACGCCCTCGTCGATAAATCAAAATGTCATCAGCAAATGACAAAGTCCTTCCCTTTCCATTCAACTGCTGCTCAGTGATCATCACCGTGTAAACGTTGAATAAGACTGGTGATAGCGGTGATCCCTGTGGCAAGCCTGGACATATCATTTGCGGTTCGGAGGACCAGCTACCACATCTTAGTACAATCTTTCTCTGGAACAGGACCGCAGCAATCCAGCGGATCAGAATAGGATTAACTTCTAGTTTAAGCAGTAATTGCATTAAATAATCGTATGGTACTTTATTGTAGGCATCTTCTAAGTCCAACACTGCCGCACATGTCTCTTCTTTAATCTGAAATCCCTCGTACACATCGTAGGCGAAAACTGCAGCATTGAACCATGTCTCTTTATTTAACCTGTACCCTCCAAGTGTTGGTGGGAACTTATCATGTAGTTCCAAGTAGGTGGTCAATCTTTGTGCGACAATTTTTTCCAAAAGTTTGCCAACAGTATTCTGCATCGAGATGATTCTGTAGCCGCAGATCTTTGAGTGGTCTTTATTAGGCTTTGGTAGTGGGAACAAATAACTATGGAGCCATTCCTCTTGTATCTGGCCACTCTGGATGCTGATATTGAATTCCTTTGCCACGCTTTTCAAATCAGCATTCGACATCATCAGCATGTCGTTGTATCGGATGCCGTCAGGGCCTGGAGCAGTGCTGCGCGATTTCTTGAGGCAAGTTCTTAAGGTATCTGCAGTGATTGTGAGATCAGTGCCTAACACAGTGTTCTCGCACAGCATCGACAATTTCATCTTAACCCCTATTCTTGTAGCTTCGTCTTTTTGGTCAGTTTGCTCCAAGTAGCGCGCCAGAAGGGTTTTTCCTTTATCAGCATCAGTTCTCTGCCATATCAGGTCTGTACCCTGAAAATCAGGGATACCCCTAGGTCGTGCGGCGCCGTGCATGCTCCGTTGAAGGCGCCAGAATGTCACAAGAGATCCCTCAGAGCAAACGCTCTTGCAGAATTCGTTCCATTTCGCTGTCCTAGCTTCCTTCGCAATTACCTTGAAAGCCACTGTCTGCTTGTTGACCTCATCTTTCAGACTGATCAGGCGTTCAGAAAGTGACGGATCAATTTTCCTTGCCTTTTGCCATGCCTTGACAGCTTTCCTTTTTTCTAGCCACGCCATGTTGACTACTTCATTCCACCATGGTGGCTGGGCCCATCTCTCCCGCCATCTGCGATCTACTCTTGTTTTACGTCGTCGGATTTTGCTAATGGCATCTTGCCCTGTACGGTCATATATAAAAGCAGGCACATTGATTACATGACCTTTGTTGTTGCTCTTCTCTACCAGGACGACGCAAGGAAAGTGATCACTGTCGTGGTATCCCAGTGTGCTCCACCTGCATCCTGATGCAATTGAGGGAGACACTAGGGCCAGGTCAATTACGCTGTCAGAATCCCCTTGTCGTGTTGCCATTCGGGTAACCTTTCCGTCGTTCAAGCATACTAGATTGGCAGACACTAGGGCATCCTCCAGGTCTTCTCCCTGTTTATTAGTGATTACATTGCCCCACTGGTGTCCTCTGGCGTTGAAATCTCCGCAGTAAATGACTTTCTTTTCCTCCGTCTGGAGCAAACTCTGCCATTTCGCTGCATCCACCTTTCCATTGCAGGCGTACACATTGACAATCACAAACTGGGCCGGGCCCATCACTCTGACTGCGTGTACTTGTAAGTCGTCATTATTCCACTTAGACATGTCCACCTCAGACACCGGTATGTGGTCACGAACAAGAATGAGCTGTCCGAGGTGCCGTCTATTGTAGAGGGATTGGAAGCCCGCAATTTTAACGATATCGTCGCCGAGGTGTGTTTCCTGTAGGACAACAATGTCGTTGCTGTAGAGGAGCTTCTCAAAAATGGGTCGGCGTTGACTGAACGAAGCGCAGTTCCAGTAGAGAACACGAACATACTTTAAACTGAGTCTCTCACATTTCAGTCGCTTCCTGCAGGCGCCGCCATGCTTGCCTGTTCGCGTTCTCCTTGTCCGTCTACGGGTTGTTTTGAATTGGTAAATAGTCGCCATCGGACGTCGAATACACCCTGAGGGAAGTCTAAACTCACGTGCATGTACTCCATTGCACGGTTCAGACCCCATTCCGATGAAACTTTCACATTATACGTGAGCGAAAATAGCTAATTTGCGCTATTCGCCTCAACGGACGAAAAAGCGTACCGCCATTGTGGCTGTTTACACCGGAAGCTGTGAAGAACCTTATCTTGATGTCTTTCTTTTCGCCCCCCCCCCCCCTTCCCCCTAATAAATCTTTCCTGTTTTTACAGTTTCTGTTTTGCTTGAATCTCTTTTTCCATAAATATTTCACAGGTTCCAATCCCCCCCCCCCCCCCCTTCCTTCCCCCTAATAAATCTTTCCTGTTTTTAGTTTCTGTTTTGCTTAAATCTCTTTTTTTTCATAAATATTTCATAGGTTCCCTCCCCCCCCCCCCCCCCCACCTTCTTATAATGTGGCCGAACCATGCTGACTGCATCTTTCTAATGTCTATGATAGGCTGTCTCTGAATCTTAGCCTCTTTCCAGATTGTTATTATTTTGACCGTTTAAGAGGGAATGATGCATCAGGGCCAAGTGCCAATAACAAAACTGTATATCCTTGACTTTCTAAGGTTATGTTTTGCCAAATAACCCATTTAAGGTGGTTCAGCCATTTTTAGTGTGACATCTCTGGGACCTCAAGTAGTTTGTTTGTTGGTGTGTTTTCAGAAGTCACAGCCAGCCACATGTTTAAAAACTGCTTCTATGTGGCATGCAAGAACTCTAGTTTCTCATGAGAGAAGTTTATTGTATAAGATGTTCTCATGTAATAAAGTGCAGTGTTTGACTACTTTGTTGTTCTTACCTCAGTGAAACACCTTATATCTGATATCAGTGTGCAATTGTGCAAGACTGATTGAGATAAAAGTTATCCTTTTCTCTCTCTATGTTCTAAATGAACTTCTTTTCTTGTTGTGTATACAGCCATTTCTTTTCTTGTTGTGTATACAGCCATTTCTTTTCTTGTTGTGTATACAGCCATTTCTTTTCTTGCTGTGTATACAGCTTCTTTTCTTGGGTATACAGGCATCATAGCCACTTTTATTTTTGCACAAATTTGCATACAATAAAATTTGCACTTGATTAATCAATTTGTATTACAAAGTATGTATAAAACAAGCATGTATTACTTTTTTCTATAAAACAAGCATAATAATAAAAGTTATAAAATTTTGAACAGTCGGCATGCAAGTGACTTTCATAAACTGTGCTACTTTCTACTACATATGCATGCACACATTTAAGATCCTAGTGTTCCTCCTTCAGAAGTCATACAGCCTTTCCACTCTTGGCTGCCTCGTCATATGCTTTCTTCAGCCGCTTCTTCAGCTCAGGAGGAAACTTGTCATAGCAGTTCTTACACACTGGCTTCTGGTCAAACTCAAAGAACTTAGTCCTAGAAAGAAACAGAAGATTAATCTGTCAAATATAAGGAGGTACCAAAGGGGGGAAAGGGGGTGGGGGGAGGAGGGGAGCAACAATATAAAGGCCCAGCCCAAAATTGGGTACCATAAAATTTAAGGGAAGTAAATGATAAAATATATTAAAGGATGAATATATCTTTATCAAACGAAATATGCTTTTTAATTGAAACATATTTTCAGGTTCACCAAGAACCCTGTATTTCCACCCTTGCTATATTTGTGTGAAGGTCTTGAAACTGGCATAACTTCATTGGTTCTGTCGCATCTGTGCCAGGATATCACTATATTTACTTCTTTTTTTTTTTTAAATTGTTTTATAAACGATCAACACCATGGCACACTGGTGCAACCCATAAGTGCTCCGTTCCACTTCTAACTCACGCCTGAATCTGAAGAAGCACAGTGCACGGACTCTGTTGCACCGGCCAGGATCCTGAAATATTTTGGGTAGATTTTTAAACCCCAAATTTTCCCAGGGCAGCACCGTTAGGCTACTCGGCTATCCTCTGAATACCAGCCACATATTATGGCGGCCAAAAAACACCCTGACAGAGCTTTAATCACATGTAAATTGCAGACTTCTTTCCGGCGAATATACCGCAGCAAAAGTAGGATAAATTTCCGACGATGATGTCGCGAAACGCAACAAACCGCCAAGTTAAACTCGCTGCCAAGGGGCCACGCATGGCGCGGAGAAGACTAGATGGCTGGGACTCCCGAGCAGTAGCTAGCGCATCGTGCAGCGTCCTTATTTTATTTGCTCGCGAGTCCCGGCCTTCTAGTTTAGCCCTTCTCCCCTCCGCGCGTAGCGGCGAGGGGATACTCTTGGCGGTGAAAACAGTGTTACCAATCCGGCACTAGCCCCGCCTTGTTCCGATCATATTTAGCACAGTTTCAATGGCGCCACAGCCACAAAGAGCAGAATTTCAGGCACTATTTGCAACTTCGGTGCTACAATTTCCAGTTGTAAAGGTCTCAATTATCGGTAAGTAGTCGATTTTGTCATTATTTTCTTTCCTTATTATTTTCGAGTTCAAGTTTTTGACTGTTCACAACAAATGACCTAATGAGGCCCTGTCAGGATGTTTTTTTGGCCGCCATAATTTGTGGTCGTTATTTGGAGGATAGCCAGCTACTCTTTTCGATTTCCAGTTGCCAAGGTATTCTTTTACATTTGCAACAATACACATGGGCATTGTCTAATCGTATTACCCTGAGACCAGGGAAAACTACTAAAAGTCGTCATGAATAAATCCTAGCCTTCCCTGGGGCCTGAACCCCCCTATATGTGTGTGTGAGGGCGCACACATGTGTGGGTGGGTGTATGTGTGTGTGAGGGTGCACACATGTTTGGGTGGGTGTATGTGTGTGTGAGGGTGCACACATGTGTGGGTGGGTGTATGTGTGTGTGAGGGTGCACACATGTGGGTGGGTGTATGTGAGGTTGCACACATGTGTGGGTGGGTGTATTTGTGTGTGAGGGTGCACACATATGTGGGTGGGTGTATGTGTGTGTGAGGGCGCACACATGTGTGGGTGGGTGTATGTGTGTGTGAGGGTGCACAATGTGTGGGTGGGTGTATGTGTGTGTGGGTGCATGTGCATGCATGTGGTTTTTTTTTTAAGGTGTCAGGGAATATATTCTATGTTAAGAGACATAATTTTTTTTTTTTTTTTTTATTATGTCTATTTTTTTTTTTTTTTTTTTAAATTCTGATTTTTTGCTTTTATTGGACACGCAGGTTAATAAATCCACATAGCTTTAGAAAACAAGTGACTGAAGAAGACAAAAAATGAATTAACTAGGCTTCTCTCTTTTGCAGTATGCAGGTAAGCCTTTTGAGCCATGCATAACAGGTTTGTTACCATGAACTAATCATGGGTGCATCATTACCAACCTGAAACAAAGTGCCTTCCATCTTCACCTCCAGACAAGAAATCCAAGGTGAAGCTGACATTATTTTGGGATTTCCACAGAGCGTTTTCAGCCACTTTTCAGATGGAGACAAAGTGAATGTGGACTCACTGTGATGGAAGATGATGCCACTCCCCCCTCCCCTCCCAATATGTTCAGGTTCGATGACTAGGGAAGTACTACACAACAATGCCAGACCCTTTATGGCAGGAATAACTCAAGAGACAATCGATCAACCAGGGAAGCTATATGAACAAAGTCCTACCCACTTTTGTCAACTGGAAGCTCACCCCGGTAATAAACACTGATCAGGAAGAAGTTTAACCTGGTATATGAATGTGGCCTGAGACTCCTAGGGCGATTCTTGGAGTTCATCAATATTTCTAGAGATTATATTCAGAGATGGTGTATTTTGTTAAGTTTAATAATAAAAGGGATGTCCGTGGCAAGTCTGACTCATAATTCCAACATACTCGATCGAAACCCACTGCTGGCTGCGTGTATTTTTATCATGGTATTGGGGCGTTGCAGGTTGACCCAGCCTGAAATGGGTACCAGGATGTATGTCCTGGGAAAGTAAAGATGGCCGGAGTAATGCTGACCACATTACCCACCTAGTTCCGATTGGTCTGTAAAAATATGGGTGCTTTTCCCATATTCCTGATGCACCTAAAGGCCTGTAAAGGGATCTTTACCTTTACTTACTTTTTATCATCAAATCTGGATCTTATGTAGATTTTTATTTTGTTTCTTTGTGTGGATTATTCCCAGCTGGGACTTACCGACCGACCCTCATAGATTAAACCTTGCAACTCAGAAGCAAATATCCCCGTGGGGGTTTCGGAGTTTCCACTGTAGGGAAAACAGACCCACTGCCTCACCAACAAGCAGAACGTAAGAATTGACTAACTGGGGGTTTCTTCAAGTCGGAGTGCATCTGCTTGAGAGGAGGGGACCAACAATCTGCATACAATCAAGTCAGGGCTGTAAAACAGATGTGCACGCAACACTCAGGTTCTGGAACAAGACCAACGTACAGAGGTGGATAAACAACCAGGACTTTCCACCGGAGTTTACAGCCAGTGAAGGCGAAGAAGAAGCAAATATAAACAGTCAACTTACTTCTGGCTCATTTTTTTGTCACAAATCGAGCAAGCAAAGTGATTGACGCACCAAGACTTGTTGAAGGCACTGAAAACTATAATATTTCAAAAAAAATATAATTAACTGATTAACGCTGAAATTGGTCTCGGGAAGACTGGGGCAAGGTTATTAGGTAAGATAAAAAAACATACAGGGACGTTATAGAACAACTTAATGGGAGTCGCCGTGGCGAGATGCTAGCCTGTGGATAGGAAGGTCGTGTGTTCGCTCCCTGGCAGAGCCAGACTTTTTTCAAAAATAACCTTGGCCCCCAGGTCAACCCAGTCTTGAGTGGGTACCGCAAGCAGTTCTGGGAAGTGAAGGCGGCCGGCGTGATGCTGACCACATCACCCATCTTGCGCTGTTGGTCTATAAAATATAGGTCTAGCCCTATGTACCCTATACGCCTGAAAAAGGGTCCTTTACTATAGAACATCTGGATATAAACTCAGCAACTGCATCAGGTAGCCAGACTGTTTCCAAAAGTGACCTTGGCTCCCAGGTTGACCCAGCCTTAAATGGCTAAGCTGGTGTTGGTAGTCAGACTCAGCATCATTGTGGGCTGCGATTCCCCCCTCTCCCCCCCCCCTCACACCCCCTTTCCTTCACCCATAGCGCAATATGATACATCTATGGAAAGATGGTTAGCTTGCAAAAAAATCAAACAACGCTCTCAACTTTTCAGTTGCAGAAACAATGTGCAGCAGACTTACAAAGCCACAAAGAAGAACCAAGACTTTTTCTTTACATAGGTAACATATATCTACTTTTGATAAAATATGGTGATACATATTCAGCCAGATTTCTTTACCATTCTCAGACTAAATATGTGTTGCTAGGGAGATAAAGAGTTTAGGCAATTTATACATCTGAGGCTGGGACTAACACTGGTTTCTTGCATAGGGAACCAGTTTAAGGGTAACAAAGAACAGACCCACTGCTTCTTAGCAAGCATGTCTTACAAGGCTGACTAATGAAAGGTTTGATCACATCAGTTATGTTGGATGAAGAGGTGCAGATATCACAGCCTAGCTGTTAACCACACCATAATGTCGCAACACTCTTTTAAGGGCAAAATGGAGATGATTTGACTGTGCAGTACTTAGCGAACAAATTTAGCTTTTAATTGAAAGAAAGTTTTACAAGAGAAACAACAAAGGAACACGGCATATATTCTGGACATATAAAATGACATAATTTAAACACCCAGAAAAACACTGCAGGCAGAGAAGCAAGAAAGTAATGAAATACAAGTGTATTCAGATTTCACGACATAAGAAAGAAAATGAAGATCCACTAAAAACCAGGCTTTACTGTGGTGACAGACAGCACCTGACTGACTACTTAACTAGTAGAATTATTCATGACTGTCAACTAACCTGACAAGGACTAACTGAAAAATATGCAACACTTTCACAGAGTTGATTAAATGCACAGCAGAAAAATGTAAATTACACACAAAATATGGAAATAACTGTGAAAATGACACAGCGGAGATTATAAGTAATTCAGCTACTAAGCTAGAAAGAAAACAAATGTCTTTTACAGATTTTGAATTGATTTCTGCCCTGAGAGAATAAATGCCACTGCTTTACTGAGGATTCAAACCGGGCCTCCCAGCATTCTAAACACTGAGCCACTCTTCACTATCATATAAACAGTCACAAATAGGATACAAACTCTAAAAAATGTTTAAAATTACAAATGATCTTACCATCTCCATTGATAATGTTGTTGCATACAAAACAGATGTTCCCGAACAACTGGAGAATACAAAATAGTAAAATCATTATCGAACATGCCAAAGCCTTGGTGTTCACCGATTCTCTACCCAAATCTATCTAGCTAAGTCTTTACAAGTAACACAACCAGCTGAGTTTGTTGGCTTCATGACTAAAAATGATAGCTTTAACCAGTAGAATGTTTTGCTTTATGGCTAACATAACTTCAGTTGGCGGTTTGGATTTATAGCTGATATCATAGTCACAATCTGTGATGTTCCGCTTTATTGCTGACATGATAGCCACGACGGGAAAAACAGGTAGACTAAATTAATGTCAATTAAGAAGAGTTTGGAGGCAACTGAGGTGTGATTCTTGAGAAGAATGTCGTGAATACCTTGGACTGCCAGAGTAGCTAATAATAATTGCCTGGAAATGGCTAATGAAAGTAGAACACTATACACAACAATAAGAAGAAGACAAACAAGGTTCTTTGGTATTGTGATGAGAAAAGGAGCAGTAGGAAATATAATGACAATTGGAAAGATCAATAGTAGAAGAGGTAGATTAAGAGAAAGGATGGTGGATGGCTTGAGACGGTGGCATGGAGGAAAATCATCATTGGAACTGATCTAGAACACCGGAGACCGAGATCTGTGGAGATGCATGAACACCTATGCCAGTTGACAAGGCACTTGATGACGATATTAGTGTCACAATTAATCAGTTGGAATTATTTAAAAAAAAAGGTTTTCTTAAATAATTCTTTTATGGGCAGTATTCAGGAACCTTGCTTTCCTGACAATCCCCTTTATTTTTTCCTCTTGGTTCTACTATTTTATAACTCAAAAATTTTGCTCTTTGCCTCGGGGTTCAATCCCCGGTAAGGGCTGCAACTTGTTTACGTGGACTTGGACTTCTAGTAAGTCCCACGCCTGGTCTCTGGGTAGTGAGATAGGACGCCCATGTGCATTGTTGCACATGTAAAGAAATCCCTTGGCAGTTGGAAATAAAAAAGAGTAGCTTAACAGTGCTGACCAGGCAAAAATTCCACCCAAAGTATTTCAGGATCCTCGCCGGTGTTACAGAGCCTGTGCACTGTGCTGAGCTAATTCGGACTCAAGACTTGAGTTAGAAGAAGACGGAGCACTCATGGGTTACTACCCGTGTGCCATGATGTTGATCCGTTGTTGAAAACCTCAAACTTACTAGGAAGTGCATTCCCCTTTTCTATCTTTGCTTATATACCTTATAGAACACAGGATGGGAGTTTGCGAACAAGCATTGGTGGGTGCTTTACCACCATGGTGTTTGTAACTTCAGTAATGCTGTTCGTCTATTATGGTGGGATATCTTTTTCTCGTTTTCCCTGTATGTTAGCGATGCCCTTTGTGGAGTACCATCCGTTGGCAGTCACTTTTATGTCAAAACATAGAACAATTTGGCTATCTGAATAGAATGTAGAGTCTGGCCATTTTAACCAGTTCTTAACCCAAGGCATTTAAGTTATGAAAACACATAGCTGACCTTTTTTTATACTGAGGTAAGGAACTGTTCACCTGATAACATAAAGCTCTGACCTAGTGTGTCCAAACATCTTGAGTATTTCAACCTTGCACAGCAGTGTTTAACTTCTGAATGTAAATTTTTCTAGAAAAACCACAACAGCCAACAAAAAAATGCTGTGGTTGGTTCTGCAACATCCTGTAAATGGCGCGCAATTAACAGCAGTGTTTCTTATAAGATTACTTTTCCTTGTCTCAATACCTGAATATTAAGGAATCGACATCACAGAACTCGGGACACTTCCCAAAACTGCTCAGTCCCCATCTTCAGCAGCAAGCGAAGAGTTCTAATTCCGGTGGTACCAGTAACCATCTGATTGTATCTCTGTCTCATCCTTTCCCTGTGTGTTGAGCGTCAGCCAGATCCCCTAGTAACTCCTCGCAGCGCCATTCTCCTTAGACCATAACGATCTATCTGCACCTCCACACTGTTTACTCGCTTCCAAATGGCTCTCCCAATATCTAACGTCATTTATCAATTCACCACCAAGTGGTGCAGAGTCTATCTGCCTGCTCATTTCCCAACATACTGGCATGACCTGGAGAAAATATCCACAGGAAGCTAACTACCTCTGAAGTGATGCTTGCCATTCTGCACGAAGTACTCAGTACCTGAAGTACAACAGTATGACAGTACTCACCTGGTGATAATGAATCTCACAGTAGGCCATGCCTTTCTTCTCGTAGTGACGAGTTCCCAAGAATGGCTTCTCACACTTGGCACACACAAAATGCTGGCGATATCAATAACAGGGATAAGTTAGGTCTCCTAACTGTCAAAACCATGAAGTTTTCTTTAAGCTGTCATAACCACTTTGTCTTCAAAGTGTGCTGACAATAGGGTCATCAAACTGTCCAAACAGCAGTACCATCAAACTGTCCTAACAACAGCGTCATCAAATTGTCCAAACATCAATATCATCAAACTGTCCAAACATCAATATCATCAAATCTATCCAAGTAACAGTGTCATCGAACTGTCCAAACATCAATATCATCAAACTGTCCAAGTAACAGTGTCATCAAACTGTCCAAACAGCAATATCATCAAACTGTCCTAACATTAATACCATCAAACTATCCAAGTAACAGTGTCATCAAACTGTCCAAACATCAATATCATCAAACTGTCCTAACAGCAATACCATCAAACTGTCCTAACAGCAATACCATCAAAGTGTCCTAACGAGGTCATCAAACTTTCCAAACAGCAACATCATTAAACAGTCCAAACAACAAGGTCGTCAAACTGTTCAAATAACAAGGTCATCACACTGTCCAAGCAACAAGGTCATCACACTGTCCAAACAACAAGGTCATCACACTGTTCAAACAACAAGGTCAGCACACTGTCAAAACAACAAGGTCATCACACTGTCCAACAACAAGGTCAGCAAACTGTCCAAACAACAAGGTCAGCAAACTGTCAAAACAACAAGGTCAGCAAACTGTCAAAACAACAAGGTCAGCAAACTGTCCAAACAACAAGGTCAGCAAACTGTCCAAACAACAAGGTCATCAAACTGTCCAAACAACAAGGTCAGCAAACTGTATATGTAACCTAACCAGCACCTAAAAGCTGCATTAAACAATTTCTAAAACCTTCCCTGATTTGCGAACAAACCACAAACCTCAACATGCCAAGTCTTCCCTAGAGCATGGACCACTCTCTCTTCTATTGGTCTCCTACATGCTCCACAGATGGGAATGCCCATTTTGTCATGGCAACGCAGGCAATATAGCTCCAGATCTTTCTCGCGAGCATCTTCCTTCAGCTCAACCCTGTAGGCAAACATGTAAAGTTATTCAAGGTGTTTAAATGCAACAGTATTAAATGCACTGCACCGGGTTACATCTCATCTCTCTCTCTCTCTCTCTCTCTTCATGAAACTGCACAAAGCGCGAGCTATGTAGCTCCAACAAGGATCTCCAAAATGTTAGTGCCTGCACAACAAAGGACAGCATTCGAAATCAACCCTACAGCAACCTAACTTTATCACCAAGACTCTTGAAACATATAAAGGTAATGCCACAAGAAGCGCTGCAATAGATGGCTGATGTACTCAAGTAAAGTAAAAGATCTTTTAAGGCAGCGATTCCCAAACTGTGTGCCGCGCCGCCCCGGGGAGCCGCGACCTCTTCACGCAGGCGCCGCAAAATATTCGAAGATACACGAGTTTAATTTTGTTTCTTACATAGGAATAGTCATACTTTTACTTAGGTTAGGGTACTGCGGAAACATTTTAATTGAAACAAGTATTTGGGAAACACTGGCCTAAGGTATATTGGGTAGAAGGTGTGAGCCTGAGAGGCAAGGAACCAACAATCTGCATGCAAAAAAGTAAAGATGTGTAAAACTGGTGTGCATGCAACACTCAGGTTCTGGAACAATAGTAGTAGTAGTACATTTTACCCCACCAGGACATCACACAAGCAATAAACACCCGATGACACAAAGTGCCACCATGCGGATGAGGATCACCCAGGGAGAGGTCCGGGAAATTACATACAGCCATTAGACCATATTTATGGCCAGGCTATATATTGCGGCCCCTGGCAAGAGCCAGAGTTGGGCTTTAAAGTGACAAAAAAATTGCATCCCCACAATGGGATGACTAACAGTACTGTTCTGGAACAGGACTAAAGTCAGGGGGTGGATGAATACCTGAACTTTCTGCTGGAGATTACAGCTAGTGAAGAAAAAGAAGAAGAAGACCTGACTCCCAGATTGACCCAGCTTGAACATGGATACCAATGAATGCTCTGGGAAGTAAAGGCAGGTGTGATGATCATATCACTCATCGAGTGGCAATATACCTATAAACCTGTGAGGCTAGTACCAAATGCCAAAGAGACTTAGTGACTTACCATCGAACAGTTTTGTCTAGTATTTCTGAGTTACAGCCCTTGCCAATCACAGTTTTTGTTTTTCTTCTTTCTGGCTAGTATTTATTTCCAGTGGTCCACACGTGTCAGTGACTCAACTGGACAGACAAATATGTGATTTTTCTCACAGCCACTTGGGTTAAGTGATTTTATGTTTTCTTATTCATAACTGTCGTACTGTATATTCAAAAAATGTGCTCTCAAGCCACAAGGCTCACTTGTCATTTGTTGACTGGTTCTACTTTTTGTTTGGTCTGATATCTTTTCAAATGAGCCAGAGTCTAAGTAGCACTGAAATACGCACCTGGCAGGAAAGTATAGATGTAATATTTGTAAAGATAACAGACATTTGACCTCTGAACAAAAACAAATACATAAACTGGATATTTAATAACATTTTGAGGATGTCCAACACACTGCACATGTACAAGTATACACATGTGAATATCACTGCACAGTGGTGTCAGTTCTAACTTCCAGGTCAGAAAGAAATTCTAACAAAATAAATGAGTTTTCATGTAAGCAACACAGATTTGTTAAAAGCTAGCTGAAGTATAGTATAGGTACTGAGTACAATCAATCAATCAATCAGGTGCCGTCTCCACAATGAAGGTTGGCTGCAATGGATCTCCAACAAGCCCTGTCTCTTGCCCTTGATGTACACTCACTCATACTGCTGTTCGTCCATCTCTTGATGTTATTCTCCCACTTGTAATGCTGTCTGCCTCTTGCTCGCCTACCTTGAACCTTCCCCTCTAGGATGATCTTTACAATACTTTTATGTCTTTAAATGTGGCCAAAATATTTCACTTGTCTCTTTTTTAATTTCACCTAGCAACTCTGTTTTCATTCCCAATTTCCTCAGTACCTCTGTATTTGATAGCTTTTGTTTCCATGAAATACGACCCAATCTTCTGTATATCCACATCTCCAAAGAATTGATACGATCTTCCAGTTGTTTGTTCATTGTCCATGTCTCTGTGCCATACAGTAAGGTTGAGAATACATAACATTTGACAATTCTCATTTTTAATGTGTTGCTTATTTCTCTTGATGTCAGTAACTTTAGCATGTTGTTGAAAATGTTTTTGGCCATCCCTATTCTTTTCTTGACTTCTGTTTTCACTTCTGCTGTCACATGTTATTACTTGTCCAAGATATAAGAAATTTCAACTTGTTCCAATTTTACCCCGTTCACTGTGATATTCATTGTTAGCTGATTATTTTCTTTGCTAAATATCATGGTTTTTGTCTTTTTCAAATTAATATCTAATCCAAATTCTGCACTTCTTCTGTTTACTTGCTCCACTAGGTCTTGCAACTCCTGCTCACTCTCTGCTAGCAACACTGTGTTGTCAGCATATCTCAGATTGTTTATTATTCTACCATTGATGTGCAGCCCTGGTAATTAGATACTGAGTACACAGATTTGTTAAAAGCTGGCTGAACTATAGTATAGATACTGGGTACACAGATTTGTTAAAAGCTAGCTGAACTATAGTATAGATACTGAGTACACAGATTTGTTAAAAGCTAGCTGAAGTATAGTATAGATACTGAGTACACAGATTTGTTAAAAGCTAGATGAAGTATAGTATGGATACTGAGTACACAGATTTGTTAAAAGCTAGATGAAGTATAGTATGGATAGTGAGTACACAGATTTGTTAAAAGCTAGCTGAAGTATAGTATGGATACTGAGTACACAGATTTGTTAAAAGCTAGATGAAGTATAGTATGGATAGTGAGTACACAGATTTGTTAAAAGCTGGCTGAAGTATAGTATGGATACTGAGTACACAGATTTGTTAAAAGCTAGATGAAGTATAGTATGGATAGTGAGTACACAGATTTGTTAAAAGCTGGCTGAAGTATAGTATAGATACTGAGTACACAGATTTGTTAAAAGCTAGCTGAAGTATAGTATAGATACTGAGTACACAGATTTGTTAAAAGCTAGCTGAAGTATAGTATAGATACTGAGTACACAGATTTGTTAAAAGCTAGCTGAAGTATAGTATGGATACTGAGTACACAGATTTGTTAAAAGCTAGATGAAGTATAGTATGGATACTGAGTACACAGATTTGTTAAAAGCTAGATGAAGTATAGTATGGATACTGAGTACACAGATTTGTTAAAAGCTAGATGAAGTATAGTATGGATAGTGAGTACACTGATTTGTTAAAAGCTAGATGAAGTATAGTATGGATACTGAGTACACAGATTTGTTAAAAGCTAGATGAAGTATAGTATGGATACTGAGTACACAGATTTGTTAAAGCTAGATGAAGTATAGTATGGATACTGAGTACACAGATTTGTTAAAAGCTAGATGAAGTATAGTATGGATAGTGAGTACACAGATTTGTTAAAAGCTAGATGAAGTATAGTATGGATACTGAGTACATAGATTTGTTAAAAGCTAGATGAAGTATAGTATGGATACTGAGTACACAGATTTGTTAAAAGCTAGATGAAGTATAGTATGGATAGTGAGTACACAGATTTGTTAAAAGCTAGCTGAAGTATAGTATGGATACTGAGTACACAGATTTGTTAAAAGCTAGCTGAAGTATAGTATGGATACTGAGTACACAGATTTGTTAAAAGCTGGCTGAAGTATAGTATGGATACTGAGTACACAGATTTGTTAAAAGCTAGACTGAGTACACAGATTTGTTAAAAGCTAGCTGAAGTATAGTATGGATACTGAGTAAATAATGAAGGTAAAAGAAAGCTTACATGAAGATGTATTTTTCAAACAAAAAAGCTACTTACCCACAGCTATGGCAGTTGAAGTGATACGGATGGTAGGGTTCACCTTTCCACTTGAGATGGCCTCCATCAATAATAGAACTGTGAAGGTAACAATGTAATGAAATAATGATGCTTGTAGATTGATAGCAGTTGCAGCAGCAGTTTGAGAAGGCTGCATGGTCTCAAGGCATGGTGTCCACCTTGAGTACTAGAGGTTCCAGGTTCAATCCCAGGTAAGGGCTGGGATTTTTTTTCTTTTTTCACTTGGACTTGGACATCTAGTAAGCCTCCACCCCCCCCCTCCCCCTCCCTCTCTGGGTAGTGAGATCGGACGCCCTTGTGCATTGTTGTGCACATTTTAAAAATCCACTAGCAGTTAGAAATCGAAAAAAGTAGCCTATTGACGCTAGCCTGTGCACTGTGCTGAGCTTCTTCAGGACTCAGACTTGAGTTAGAAGAAGAACGGAGCACACTTGGGTAACTATCCGTGTGCCATGATGTTGATCCGTTGTTCAAACCTCAAACCTCAGTAGTAGTAAGGTTTCAGTTTTACTTAAATGGATCATTCCCATAACTGTTCCATTTATGTGTCAGTGAAAATCATACAAAATGCCCTTCACTTTCCATGTTGAAAACTAGTGAACAAACCATTCATCAATGCCACCTTTCCATCTTTCCAGACGACAGTGTTATAGTTTGCTATGAGGAGGCATGGGACATACAGCCCACTGCAATGACATGTGTGACTAGCAAGACCCGCCCGCATTAAGAAAAAAGTCTTCCACAAATATAGCATGGGATTTCAGGACCGTTGTTGTCAACATTTGTATTGAGTGTGTTTCTTCTCGGACGTGCAGTTCTCAACCTGTCTGCAATTATTTCTTCCTTCATTCTCCTTCCTTTTCTGATGTACCCCCTCCACACAACACAGTTGGTGGTATTTTGTTCCAATGAATCTCCCACAATACCTGTATAATTCATATTCCGTTTGCACACATCTTTTACTGTAGTAGAGGCTGGCCTCGACATCTTCTACCCATATTTAATTCACCATAGAGAATGTCCTTAGGGACTCTGCCATCCTCCATTCTCCAGGTGCGCGAACAGACATTTGGTCCTGGTATTTCTATCATGGATGTCAATCAACATGTAATATGGTATTCCTTTCAACATGAGACACACCATTTGTGAAGTAGCTTCAAACGGTTCCCATAAAGAGTTGGTATGTTAGACTGTTTCCCCCTCTCTGGGCTGATACCTATAAGTCTGACCACCCCTGTGACCTCAAGTGTCACATCCTGGATAGCAAACCAAGAATGCAAATCCCTGTTTTACCTCAGCCAAGTTATAATTTGGGCATCTGTAATGGCTATGCCAGGTACCCTTCATCTTATGAATTTACTGTATCGAATCAGTAACAATACAATTATTTACCCTACATATTCTTCACAACTGTTCCTTTCAGCTTCTTTTGCATTCACAAAGAAAAGGGGCAGTTTGTGCATTGTGTTGTGGTTTACAGCAAGACTGTCATATCTATACCATTCAGCCAAACACGTCTGATTTAAGAAAATCCCTAATTAGTGGCTTCTCATGACCTGCTTATTGGTTAGCAGCAGATCTACGATCAAAGCCCCCCTATAAAGTTCAAGTCGTCCCCAGGGAGGGGGGGGGGGGGGAGGAAGAGACCCACTGCTTCCCTAACAAGCATGTCATAAGAGTCAACTAGTTAAGGGTTTTCTTCAAAGTCAGAGTGCATCTGCTTGAGAGGCAAGTAACAAACAGTCTGCACACAATTATGCCAGATCCGTAAAATGGATGTGCATGTAAAACTGGAGTTCAGGGACAATATTAATGGTCAGAAGGGGACAAACATCCAGAACTTTCAGCCCGAGTTAACAGCCAGGGAGCGCGAAGAAAAAGAAGGTGCCAAAAAGTGAAAGAGAGAGAAAGAAAGTCACAGAAGAGCGAGAGAAAGAAAGTGAGAGAGTGAGACAGAGAAAAAAAAGAAAGTAGAAAAGACAGAAAGTATGTCAGAGAAAGTGAGTCAGAATAAGTAAGAGTCAGTGAGACAAAGACCAAGCCAGACGGAACAAAACCTGATGCTGCCAAGTTGCCTTTTGATTGTTATGGTGTCTGAGGCTTGTTTTCCTTTTTTGTTTTTAAAATTACTTACTGGCACTTGAAACAAACATATTTCCCCAGTCCTCTGGCCTTTTCCATAGCATTACAGTCCTTGCACAGTGCCCTGTGATAGAAATCAATATACAAACAGCTCATGATTATCCCAAGTATTATCAGCTTAATGATCAATTATTCACAAATGTTAACCCACATTTTATGATGAGATTAGCAGCATCCGTGGCTGAGGCGTTGTGAGTCTGACTCGTAATTCCAACGTACAGTGATCGAAACCCCCTAGTGCCAATTGTTTGTGCAGCGTGGATGTTTTAACATGATATGGGGCGTCATGTCGTAAGAGTCGACCCAACCTGAAAAATGCATCTGCCGGAGACAAGGACAGCTGTATTCCTAGAGAATGAGATCTGGGAAACAACAAGACGGCTGGCGTAATGCTGAACACATTACCAACCTAGTGCCAATTGGTCTGTAAAAATATGGGATGCTCTTCCCATATGCCCGATGCGCCTAAGGCGTGAAAAAGGATCTTGACTTTTTTTATTATTTAATTTTTTTTTACTTTATTTGATGAGATTCACAGTCTGAGAATGGTGCTGTGAGGAGTGACCAGGAGATATGAACGATGATCAACACTCGGGAAAGGTGAGTCAAATATACAATCAGACTGCTACGGTACCATCAGAATTGCTTGCTGCTACAGATGAGGAAGGAGCGCTTATAGGAATGCCCGAGTGTTGTGATTTTGATTCTTAATTAAACACTGAACATTAAAAATATGGGTCTAGCACCATATGCATGAGGTACCAATGGTTCAAAGAGTCTTTTACTCCTCTTTTTTTCCCCCTTCAAATTCTAATCTCCTACACGTGCTAGGGGAGTCAATGTGGCGGAGCTGCTAGACGCTCGCCGCAGATCGGAAGGTGGTGGATTTTCTCCCAGGTAGAGCCGGACTTTATTCAAAAATGATCTTGTCTCCCATGTTGACCCAGCCTTGAGTGGGTACCAGGTGCAGTCCCGGGAAGTAAAGGTGGCCGGCGTGATGCTGACCACATCACCCATCTTGTGCCGATTGGACTATAAAATATATGTCTAGCCCTATATGCCCTATATGCCTAAAGGCGTGGAAAAGGGTCCTTTACTTTACTTTATTTACTTACACTTGCTAGGTTGGGAAACAGGCAACAGAAAAAAAAAATTTACGTTTTTTACACTTATCGCCTCGAACAAATAAATGAAATGCATCCTCCTAAATTCCTAGTAATCTGCTGCCACTTATTTCTTTCCTATAGCAAGCATAATGCAACAAAACTAGACAAATAAAAAACATACCTCAATACCTCATGTATGCCGATTTTATATTCAAGAGCAAAATATCTTATCTCCACTTTATCAGTTTATGAAATTAAATGTTTCTCCGCTTTCTGTACCTCTTGTGAGAGATAAGTACATGTGCAACCAAAACCTTGAATATGAAACGTATACACACCTTGTCTGGCTTTTGACAAAACCCTCATCAGCCAGAACCTTGGCACAGACGAAGCAGCGGAAACACTCCGGATGCCAGGAAGCATTCATGGCCTTGATAACACGGCCACTGATAAACTCACCTAGTAGAAACCCATGTAGTTATTGTTGTTATCAGCATCATTCATTTATATGATCATCAGTGAACTTCAGACACATTTTAGGTTTCTGTAGTAGCAAATATTATCATTATCGCAAATCAAAACCTTCTGGAAGGAAGCCAAAAAACAAATACAGTGGTATCTCGGTATACATTCGCTTTGGTATACTTTCAACTCGGTTTACGTCCTGTTTAGACCAAAATCTTTTGTTTGGTATATGACTTCTGTTTGAAATACGAACTTCTATAGGTCAAAGTTAGTCACAATGCAGCACAATATCTTTGTTTTCATCTCTCAAGACAAAGCCACAGACAGATGTCAATGACTCTGCACAGAAGTATCACCCCAAAATGTTGAATGTTGAATTAAGAATCAACATCACAGAACTCGGGACCCCCATATGCACTACGTCCCCGTCTGCAGCAAGCATTCAGATCACATAGTTGAATTATTCGATTGCCATTTTAAACAAATTAAGCATGACTTCTTCACGTTCACCAATTGTAAACTCCAGTGTTGAGATCTGGTTGGTTCATCCACTTCTGGTCTTGTTCCAGAACTTGAGCTTTGCATGCCCATCCACTTTACAGATCTCACCTATTTGTATGCAGACTGTTGATTTTTTACCTCTTAGGCAGATGCATTCTGACTTCAAAGGAAATATCCCCTATTAGTCGCCTTTTACAATTTGCTTGCTGGGGGGGGGGGGGGGAGGGAATTGGGGGGGGGGGAATTTTAGTATTGGGGGGGGGGTAGCAACCCCATCGATGTGAGTCTATTCTTTGTTCTCCTAAAAAGGAGCCCCGAACCACAAATGAGAAACCCGTTATATTTGATTACCTAAAGTATTTAACATTTAAAGTAAAATTATTTCTTCATTCACTAGTATATAGGTTAATTAAATTCATATTATTTTTTACTGTGTGGTTCTAAATGTAGATGTTATTATTTTAAAGTTTAATTGTTGTAAGCAGTTTTGTGTGTGTGTGTGTGTGGCTCCTACATATTCAGTGTAGGAAATAATACCCGATATTATTCAATCACTAATGTCACAAAAGACACAAATGCAGACAAATTTGATAAAATGCATAAACTTACCACATTTGCCACAGCTGGGAGCAAACAGTACACAGAAGTCATGCTCACAGTACTTTCTGTCTTCAAACTGGGGAATATCAACATGAAGTCTTTCTGACAGGGCATCACAGAGACCAGTGTTATATAGATACAGAGGTAACAGAGCCAGAGGTCGACCACGCAGAAGATGGAGAGCAGAAATATCAGAGACACTTCGAAGTAACATCTACAAAGCAAATATAAGGGTCCGTTCCAGAGATCTCTTCATGCCTTTTCACCATAAGACATTCCAGGAGTAGAGAAGAAGTCTTTCAATCCCAGGCAGTTTTTACTTTAAATCATTCTAGCTTAATAAGCTGATCTTGAAAACAATACATACTTCAATCTTAAGAAGCTGAACTCAGTCACTACTTCGATCTTAGGAAGCTGAACTCAGTCACTACTTTGATCTTAAGAAGCTGAACTCAGTCAAAAGACACTACAAAATTTGATTGATCTTAAGACAGAGCTGACACTCAGTCACTACTTTGATCTGACAAGAAGCTGAACTCAGGTCACTAATTCAATCTTAAGAAGCTACCAAACTCAGTCACTACTTTGATCTTAACAGCAAATATAAGGGTCCTGAACTCAGTCACTAAGACTTCAGGATCTTAAGAAGCTGAACTCAGTCACTACTTCAATCTTAAGAAGCTGAACTCAGTCACTACTTTGATCTTAAGAAGCTGAACTCAGTCACTACTTTGATCTTAAGAAGCTGAACTCAGTCACTACTTCAATCTTAAGAAGCTGAACTCAGTCACTACTTCAATCTTAAGAAGCTAAACTCAGTCACTACTTCAATCTTAAGAAGCTGAACTCAGTCACTACTTCAATCTTAAGAAGCTGAACTCAGTCACTACTTTGATCTTAAGAAGCTGAACTCAGTCACTACTTTGATCTTAACAAGCTGTACTCAGTCACTATTGTGATCTTAAGAAGCTGAACTCAGTCACTACTGTGATCTTAAGAAGCTGAACTCAGTCACTACTTTGATCTTAACAAGCTGTACTCAGTCACTACTGTGATCTTAAGAAGCTGAACTCAGTCACTACTTTGATCTTAAGAAGCTGAACTCAGTCACTACTTTGATCTGAAGAAGCTGAACTCAGTCACTACTGTGATTTTAAGAAGCTGAACTCAGTCACTAATTTGATCTTAAGAAGCTGAACTCAGTCACTACTTCAATCTTAAGAAGCTGAACTCAATCAATACTTTGATCTTAAGAAGCTGAACTCAGTCACTACTTCAATTTTAAGAAGCTGAACTCAGTCACTATAACAGGGCTATTCAAGCAAGTTGACTCAGTCGCCAAAAATTTGAAAATGGGGATGTCAGTCTGAAGGCCTAAACCCTAGCATAGAAAGATCATTACGACTGGCAATGATATGCGGACCACATTTGGCTGGTGGGCCACTAGCTGAATAGCCGCCCTTCACTATAGGATACAAGTAGTTAAAACTAAATATGCAGTTCCAAAAGGTTAATGTAAAACCAGTCTGCGGGGAAAAACAGCAAGAACATCATGTGATCTCTGGAATGACCAAAATATGTATACGTTAAGCTGTTAATTAAAGAAAGAGTTAACGGATCAAATGTTAGATACTGCTGTAGGGGACTCACTCCTTCTTCTTGTAAAACTGCTATTAAAACTGTGGTTGGCACATTGTATTATGGTTTACAGCTAAGCTATGATATTTGCACCTTTTGGCCCAACAATCCAATTACCAATTAATTAGTTGACTTTTAGGGTGTCTTAGTCTTAATCTTTGGCTTAGACACAAAATTAGGAATGCATTAATGAGAGATGACTGATAATAAAAACAAAAAATAGATGGCTTTGAAGGTGTATTGTCCGTACCATGACATATGATGATAATCAGAAGCCTTGATGCCAAGGATTGCTGGATTTGTAAAATTCAAACCAATACGACAAGATTTACAATGAACAGGCCCTATGGTGAAAAATATAATTTTCTAAAACTGGGTGCCCAAGAGGACAGACTGATGACAATAAATACATTCCACATGAGCACAGAATGACAATATCCAGCGCTACTCCCGAGCATTGGATCGCAAACAGTTCCTTCCCTACGTAGTTATCGTAAAATAATACATAGGGTGGTGTCCTTAGTATTAACTTTTCAATGCTAAATCGTTAACAAGTAACATAAATCTTGTATGTTATCTATTCTACAAATGTCAAACTTTACAAAAACGAACACACTGAAAAAGTGATGTTTTTGTCATAAAGTGAAAAAATGCAGTGTAGTGACCCCTTAACAGCAAGAGTGGAATTGATTGATGAGGATGGTGAATTTATGTATGTGTTTGTGAGCTTAAAGCAACAACAACAACAATTTTCCAAAGTTCTGAATTTAGTGACAGACCTATACTTTTTTCTATATCTTATTTGATGGGTAATATGTGTAGTTCACACAACAACAGCCATCTTTATTCCCTGGACATTTCTTAGTACCCATTTCAGATTGGGTCAGCTATTTGTCAGGTCAGGTTTAAACAAATCTACTCTGATGGGAATTCTTCTTCTTCCTTTTGTTTTTTAGCATTCACCAGCTGTAAACTCTGGTAGAAAGTTCTGGTTGTTCACACACTTCTGGGCTTTAGGCTTGTTCCAGAACTTGAGTTCTGCATGTACACCCATTTTTGGAGGAAACATCCTGTATTAATTGACTTTTATCACATGCTTGTTCAAGGGGGCAGCGGAACTATTCCCCCTCCCCACAATCGGGCTCGGGAACCCAAATGGGGATATTGTGGATTTGAACCCTACACCTTTAGATCGGCAGGCAAGCTATGCTACACCATCACATCCACAGGACATAGCTACATTAATTATTTTATTGTGACTGCATGTTTTGCGTTGTTTCATACATATTTTATAGACTGCTTTTGTGTCTTTGAATTGTGGGGGGAGGTGGAGGTGAGGGGGTGGAGGGAGGGTGTCCTTCATCAATCAGATGTTTTGCATCCTGAAGACATATTTACATCCATTTAAATAATTCTCACTTCAGAGACAATTTAACCAACAGGTTTTCTTACTGACAATTTTTTCCCTAGACATTTGCCAAACAAATCAGCATTGGCAGGTGCTTTCTTACTGCTTTCAGTATGTTTTTTTACTGTTTTTAGAGTGGCGTCTTACGATGCTTGTTTTTTATTTTTTTGCAATAACGATTTGTTTTTGTTTTTTAACAGTATGACGCTCATACTATTGATGAAATCAACATAAAGCGGTTTGCTACCAAACAGCCTGAAACTGACTTCAAACCCGTGTAGGTTGGGATTGTAAAACTACATTCATAACCCCTAAGCTAGAGAGGCTTCTGAATTTACATACCTCAAAAAACCGACCATCAGGAAAAGGCTGGAAGCACTGTGCACACCTGAAAATAAGAAAGAGAGTAAACAGATAGATTAATAATAAGTAACTGAGTAAATTAAAAAAAAAATAAAAAAGAACAACGAAACACACCACACCTAAAAGATCTTACAAATACTGTAAATTAGGGAGAAATGTAAAAGTAAAGAAATTAAAAAACTTTTCAAATCTTACTCTGCTTCTGAATTTTCTCTTCAGTATGGTTTTTAAAACAGTGTTATGTCTTTTAATGGCCAAAATATTTAAACTCTCTTTTTTTTTATTCTTCTTTCAGTAACTCTCTTTTTATTCACACTTTTCAGAACCTCAATCTAGTGGAACAATATAGTGAGGCGCCATGTACTGAGCTGGCAAGAGAAGGCAAAGGATAGTACATTTGTAGTGTGATCTAGTCAATGGCCTATGCTTTTAATGGGTGGGTGGGGGGGGGGGGGGGTGGGGGGGGGGGGGAGGAGGGGGGGGAGGGGTAAAGAGCTAGGGACAAAATGAAGTGAAAGTAACATTAGTATCCCCACGGCCCTCCCATATACATATTACCTCAATTCTGACTGGTAGTTCCTGAACCTGTCACCTTGGCACAAGGTCACGGGGGTGTTCTACAATGCCGTTGATATCATGTGTTGTATATTTCAGCAGGCCAGCCCTTTTACCATGCAAAAACATGGAGAAACTGGGCCTAACAGATGCAGGATAAATAATAATGTCCAGTAAACTGCTCTGACAGAATCACTAATCTTAAGAGACATTTAAATTACAGTATAGTGAATGGAGAGCTTAGGAAAAGACACAAAGAATGCTTAGAAAATGTGATAATAATTAACTAGGATGTCCTTGCACTAGAAAACAGAGGGAGAAAGATCATGTGAAAACTTAAAAATATCTGCAGTATATAAAGTGAGTTGCACAAGAAGCAAAATATAGTACAGCTTTGACTGAGCAAGTGGATGACCAAGCGGTAAAGAAAGCTGGGCTCTCAGGTGGCAGACAAGGGTTCAAATCCTTGGCAAGGTTGTGGATCTTTTCTGTTGGAGGCAACGATCAAATCCTAACGAGCAGTCTGTGATGTCAACACTAGCTAGCCATGTGTCCCTAAATCTTCAGGCTCACAGACCTTCCTGCCTGCACCACAACCAGTGATAAACACAAACTAGTGATGGTAGTTTTTGGATTCAGTTAGTTGAGTGCATATGTTCCAAAGGGAAATAAATGAGAGAAGAAGGAGAATTTATGCTTTATTCATATCCCACCCCAAACAGGGAAAATCCACAGGTCACGGGACAGTCTAATATTTCAGGGGGTGGTAAGTAGGCTGCATGCAGTCATGGGACCTAGGCTATATGTAGTCGTGGGACCTAGGCTGCATACAGTCGTGGGACCTAGGCTGCACTCTCTCGTGGGACGTAGTTGGGTTGAGGTTAGGGCCAGTTCTAAATGTTTTGGGGCCGTTAAAAGCAACAAAAAGCCGGGAAACCCAGTCTCACCACCCTCTAAAATGTTGGACTCTTCTGTGATGTCATCTAGGGTAGGATATTATAAAAGAACCGAAAAATTTACTTACACAAAGCAATAGGTGTGCCAGACCTGCCCACTAGAGTTGACAATCTGCTCATCCATGGTGAAGCCATCATTACACCGCTGGCACATTCCAACACCTAGCGACATGGTGCTGCTGTAAAAAGACATAGACAATATACATTAACTCACTGTCAATACTTCTTCTTCTGTGCTCCCCTTTACAACAACAGTTAGCATGCTGTGTTGTGGTTTACAGCTAGGCTGCTATTCCTGTGCTTTTAGTCCTATACATCTGATTTCAGCAAACCCCTAATTAGTAGCCTTTTATGACATGCTTGTTGGCTGCAGTGGGTCTATTCTTTTTTTCCCCAAAATGGGGATCCCTGAACACACAAAGGATGTTATCAGTTCTAATTGTTGTCATCAACACTGTGAACATTATCTTAAAATGACTCTTGCCTATTTTTCTTTTAAATCTGGCAGAATGAGAAGCAGTATAATGTTTTATTATTGTTGCATATTCGATATGATGAGGGAATGAGACAAATATATGACACAATCCTTCTAAAAACTCGAAGAACAATCTGCTGTGTGTCAATGAGCATACCTCTATGAGGTCTTCTCAAGGAATATCCCACTTGTGGTCATGAAAAAATACAACTACTCATCTAAAGGTCTGAAACCTTAATACTGTCAAAGTATATTCCTTGAGATGGCACACACTGCTCCCTCCTTTGTTGAGCAGTATTTCAGAAATCCTTCTCTGGGAACGGAATAGAGCTCAACCAAAACCATTCCTGATGTCTTCTTGTGACTAAAATTAGGGTCTTTTTCAGTGATATTCAGCTGCCCGTGTTATTATTATTATTTTATTAAGTATCCAGAAACCATGAGTTGTAAACCCTTTGGCTCGGTACTATGGATATCGCAACCCTTCGGTCTTGATTCCATTATAGGTACCGTTAATCTGGGAGAAATGTGGCTTTACTGCCTACCCCCGGGAGTGAGCCCGGACCAGAAGGAGTTCGTCACCCACTACGCTAGAGAGCCGAGCTGCCCGTGTAAATTCCAGGACCCCAGTGTGAGAGGAAAAAGAAGAGACCCACTGTTCTTGTAATAAGCATGTTGTAAGAGACAACTAATTAGGGGTATTTCCCTCGAAGTCAGATCACATCTGCTTGAGAGACAAGGAACCAACAGTCTGCATATAAATAAGCCAAATCTGTAAAACATGTGCAAGCAAAACTCAACTTCTATAGCAAAACCAAAGTCCAGAAGTGGATGAACAACCAGAACTTTCTGCCAGAGTTTACAACCAGTGTACTCTAAGAAGAAGAAAAGAAGAAGCAATATTCAGCTTAAGGGGTAACCATAAATTGCAAGCAGCAATGTAGAAATAGTAAAAAGTCTGATAAACTTCAGGAATGTTGTGATTTTGAGACACAAATGACTCATTCATGTGTGCAGTGAGGACTAGGCAGCACCATAATGGCAAAACATTTTCTTTCTCTCTACATCTGATTCAGATCTTCTTGGCCAAAACTAGACAGCTCAGTGCATCAAACCCTTAATCTAATGTGCTTACCATCTTCTGGCCACAATGTCAAAAAAATGCATTGGAAACTAATAACCCCTGCCAATTCAGAAAAGAAGGACTAACATGATATGACAGGATTACCAGAGTTAACATTATGGAAAGAACCCTACCACATTCCAGAAAAACAACAAGTGAGTAAAAGATGCCGCAACTAGATCTGACATCAGTTAAGAAAACCATTTAATAGCATAATCAGAACTAGAATGGTCACCCTCATACTCATCTATGTATCTGTCTACTGTCTTTCTCTGCTTAATGCTGTTAGGCTTCACAGACACTGCTAATGATTGGTTTCCAGGATAGAGCACCCTCATTAGATTGCTGCATAGTAATATTGTTGAGTTTCAGCAAGTTGTTAGTTCCATCTATTCATATTTTTCTTGGTCTTCCTCTGCCTCTTGACGTTTAAATTCTCATATTGTATGCTCTTGCAACAGGTGATGATGAGTTCAGTCTGACCAGATGGCCAAACCATTTCATTCTTTGTTTTTCAAAAAAAATCAAATTACAGGTGTTTTTTAAGTTCACTTATGAAATCTAGAGCAGGTTTTGGTGATCATCTTCTTCTTCTTTTTCACTGGTCAACCACGGAAATGAGATGTCTGAGAAGGGCTGTAGGAGTGACCATAAGAGATAAGATCAGGAATGAGAACATAAGAGAACAAGTCGGCACAGAACCAATTCTGGATTACATACAAAGACAGCAAGTGAAATGGTTTGCCCACTTAGAGAGAATGCCTTGTGACACCATACCATACAAAGCATACATGGAAAGAGAAGAAGGACGTAGAGCACGGGGTAGACCAAGAACAAGATGGAAGGATAACATCAGAGAAACTCTACAACAGCACGATGTGCCTATGGTCGAGGCGCCTATGGTCGAGGCAGCCAGAAGAGCCAGAAACAGAACCTTATATCTCCCTCGACACCCACAGCGGTAAAAGAGGAAGTGAAGAAGAAGAAGAAGAAGAAGAAAAGATGAATGGTCTTTGTAGCTTCTGATGGATGAACAACACAAAATACAAGATTTTTTAAGACAGTTGTGGCGGTACACCTGCCTACTGGCCTGGTAGCCATAGGTTCAAATCGGTACAGTGATCACTTTCTAAAAATTGATTTGAGTCCTCAGGTCAACCAAGATTGAAAGTGAGTACCAGGAAATTTTCTAGGGACATTTTCTTTTGATCTTTTTAGCATTCACCTGCTGTAAACTCCAGGGGAAAGTTCTTGTTGTTTCTGTACTCCTGAACTTTGGTTTTGATCCACAACTTAACTTTTGCATGCACATTTGTTTTACAGATGTATCTTATTTGTATGCAGACTGTTGGTTCCTTGCCTCTTGGGCAGATGCTCTCTGACTTTGAAGAAAATACCCCTAATTAGTTGCCTCTCCTACGATGTGCTTATTGGGGTTGGGGGGTTCGCAGTGGGTCTATTCATTGTTCTCCAAAATGGGGTACTGGATCCCATATGTGGGATCTATGGACAAAAAAATAGCCAGCATATTTTCGGCCTCATCTACTGAGTGCGCGTGGATTTTTATCGTAGTATGGGGCGTCGCAGGCCGACCCAGCCTAAAATGGGTACCAGGATGGCTGTCCTGGGGAAGTAAAGACAGCTGGCGTAATGCTGACCACATTACCCATCCAGTGCCGAGGTCTGTAAAAATATGGGACATTCTGCCCATATACCCGATGCGCCGTAGGCGTAATAAGGGATCTTTACTTTACTTTTTATCTACTGAGTGCTGTCTGGTCTCTCAACAACAAAAAAAAAAAAAATAGGCTGGCAACATGTACCCAATATGCTTCAGAGTGAGGTAGGTAGCCATGACATCACACAAGCGATAAACACCCGGTAACACAAAGTGCCACCACCTAGATGAGGATCCCCCATGGAGAGGTCCCAGAAACCCTGACCAGTTGTTGGGCCATATTTTAGACCTGGCTAAATTTAGGGCCCCGGCAAAAACCAGGGTGGGGCTTTAATTAACGATAAATTGCATCCTACAAAGGGATGACTAGAATTATAACATCAGTGTGAGGAAATAGGTTGTCTACTTCAGAAAGTTACTGTGACAGAAGATGTAACTAATTTACAATATTAACACATCTCATGAACATAAGAATTTAAATCTGCAACAAAATCAACAAAGTATACCAGCAAAATGAAATTTGCAATCCACATATTAATGCCTACCTGTCCCCAACCACAGCAATACTGGAGTTATTTGAAACAGCATCTTCCTCAATGATACCTCCACCATCTAAATCTTTTCCATCTATCTGAATTGTCACCCCTGGCTTTTCCATTTTTGTATTGAATTTTACAATTTTAAACAGAAAACTCTATCCCCAAGTTACATTAAAAAAAACAGCAACACAAACTAAAACTGTCTCCAGCATGTAAATTATTAATTTAAATCTTATGTTTCTATAGCCACATCAAGAATATAGAAGTCACTTGTTTCTGAAGTATGCTGCCTGAGACAGAATACAATCTCCCAGATGTGTGCAAGTGTGTAACCCTAACATAAATGCTATATTAGGCAAAACACTTAAGTGGTGATAATCTCTTTCCTTAAGTGGGTTCAAGTCAAGGAGACTACTGTAAAACAAATTTGTTAAAACTGGCACAGGCTCAGTAAATTCACCGTTTTTTGCCCCTGCAACAAAATGTTTACAGAACGAATCAATAAACCTTTTTTTTTTTTTTCAAATGGTTAAGAGTTGAGCACACAGGCCTGTCTTTCATTCTGCCCTTCCAAGCAAAATGAGATAGTGCTGGGCTAGAAAATTGTTAACAATTAAATGAAAAATAATCTCATTGTGTAGGTTCTGGAGCCCCATTGTGGAAAAAGAAGAATAAACTCACTGCCCCAAAAAGCATGTCGGAGGAGTAGACTATCTGAGATATTCCTTCGAAGCCAGCGTGCATTTCTCCGAGGGGCCAGAAAAAAATCTACTGGGCATAAATAAGCTAACAACACGGATGTACACGCAAAACTCAGGTCCTGACACAAAGCTAAAGTCCAAATGTACGAATAACCAGAATTTTCTACTGGACTTACGACAGGTAAACAAAGAAAAAGCACTGCTTCAACGATTAGTATACAGACTTGAAAAAAAAAATTACAAGTAGAAACATTTATTAACCCCTAACAGGGTCACCAGTGTTGACTTTGCAGAAAGATATAGAAATATTTTAGTGAATACAAGGGTGAATAAGAAAAATCTGGGACTAGATAGGACTTAATCAACAGCTAACTCTCCCCAGCCCCCCCCCCCCCCCCCCCCCCAATTACATTTCATGCCTACACAGCCGCAAAAAAAAAAATGGTAATGAGAGAAAGGTAAGTGGCACGGGGACAAGAGCATTTATCACTGACAGTCATCACAACATCTGCACCCACTTACTTAAGTGTAAGTGACACTTAGATATTTCTACACCAAAGGTTCTTGTCATGGTGTCAACAGACCCACCATGGGATATGGAGTTAGTTTTGGGGGTCTATTTACTTAAACAGGTTTGAGAGGATTTGGTATTGATT